AAAAAAAAAAAAAAAAAAAAGAAAGAAAGAAAGAAAGAAAAGAAAAGAAAAAGAAAAGAAAGGGTAAAACTATTATTATTCACAGATGACATGATTTTATATATATATGGAAAGTCCTAAGGAATCTATGAAACAACCTCATAGAATAAAATTTAGCAAAATCTGAAGGGACAAGTTCAATGTATAAAAATTAAACATATACCTTTTGGGATGCAAGTCATTAAAAAAATAAATTATATTTCTACAAATTAGCGACAATCAGAAAATACAAATATTAAAATACTATGTACCGAAGCTTCAAAAATACCAAATACATGGAAATAAAGGTAACAAAAGATGTGTAAAAGCACGATCCTAAAACCACAAACCCTGCTGGGAACCTAACAACCTCAGCAGAGAGAGTTTTCACAAATTGGAAGAGTCGGTGCAGTTATGGTATCAATTTCGTCCCAAATTGATCAACAGATTTAAGGTGATTCTAATCAAAATTCTAATCATCTTTTGTTGAGAAATTGACAAGTTGATTCTAAAACTTATATGAAAACACAAAGAATTTAGAATAGTCAAAACAATCTTGAAGAACAAATTAATCAAGTTGGAAGTCTGATGTTATCTGACAACAAGAAGCAGTAACACTAATCCTCAGTAATGAAGATGGTGTAGTACGGGCCCAAGGATTAAGAAAAACATCACCAAGAAGAAAAAGGAGATTCGAAACTGTTCTCTACCTATGGAGTCAACTGATTCTTTAGTAATACACAGGAAAAATAAAATCTTAAATAAATGGTGTGGAAACTAAACATTTGAGGAAAAAACTGGACTTCAAACCTAACCTCACTATATAGTACACCTCTGAGATGTCGTGGTTTTCTTGAAACTGCCTCTATTTCACAAAGAAAAATTGCACCGAAAGTGCACGAGAAAGGAGCTATTGATGGTTTGAGGAGAAGGTCAGACAGTTGTCTAGAAGAGTAGTAATGGACCAGGAAAATAAGGTATACTTGCAGAATTAAAGACTCATTTGAGGTTTGTGGTTTAACTGTGGTCAGGGTTTTACCACGTGTGAAAGACTTGTACCACAGAAAAGTTAATATTACCTTCTGTGTTTTAGTGTCCTCACCTGTGAATAAGGATAATAGTAACTCCTCAAAGAGCTGTTGAATTAAATGAGCACTTAGAACAGTGATTAGCTCAATAGATGCCGTTTAACTGGTTGTTACCATATCATTACTATTATTTAGATAGGTAGTTACTGAAGTGGCTAAGAATGGCCAGGTGTCTGTAATCCTAGGACCCTGAGAGGCCAAGGCAGGCAGGTTGCTTGGTCTCACAAGTTTGAGACCAGCCTGAGCAAAAGTAAGACCCCCGTCTCTACCAAAAATAGAAAAACTGAGGCAAGAGGATCTCTTGAGCCCAAGTTGGAGGTTACTGTGAGATATGACACCATGGCACTCTACCCAGGATGACAGCTTGCGACTCTGTCTCCAAAATGAATTAATAAATAAATAAATAAAGTGGTTAAGAACATGAACTGTAGAGCTGGTCCAGACCACTTAGAGCCTAACACCAGCCCTATTACTTATTAAACATATGAATGACCCAGCCAAAGTATTGACCCTCTCTGTGCCTCAGTTTTTGCATCTGTAAAATGGGGAAGATAAACATGAGGATTAAGTGACAGAGTACATGAAAAATACTTAGAATAGAGCCTGACAGTTGATATTCACTGTTAGCTATTATTCAAACTAGAATCGTTGTCATCCTAAGACTATCGTAAATTCATCCTGCAAATATTTGCAAAATTCTACCAGTCTATCATATCTTGAGAATAAACTGGTGATTTAAAGAGTGTGCATTAGCTCCTTTAAACCACTGCAATTTCAGAATTAGGTAACATATCCAAGACCACAAAGCTGGTAACTGATAACATAATAACCATTCGTACGGTGCTTTAATTCTCAATATACTATATAAATCTGTTCTAAGGATCTGAGGTGACCAAATACAAGTATAAACATATTAAATTACGGACAAGCTCTTAAAGCTGCCAGTTAAGTGAAGGTTAATGTACCTTAAAACTGGTACTAAGATTTGAGAAGATAATCCAAAAAGGTGTTGGCATATAACTTTTCTCTCCCTCTCGTTTGTGCATCTTATTTCCCCACTCACAAAAGCAGAAGCGAAACTTGGACTACTGACAATTAGGTAACAGAAGTATCTTACAAGAAAACAGGCCCATTTTAATTTGCATTGTCATTTCAATTTCAGTATAAATGCTATGTTGCAATACCTACGTTTTAAATTTGTGCAGTTGAAAACACAAATTTTAAAATCACACCTGATAGTCCTGTCTTCTGCTGACGGCTGCATCTTCTTCAGTTTTGCAAGGGAGCTCACTTAAATGAAATGAGAGATTTGAAAGTCATTAAAACATGATTCCATGAATATTAGCTTTCTTATTTTACATGTTTTATTTAATGTTCTTTTTGTATTTGCTTGTTTGAGACAGAGTCTCACTTTGTCACCCACGGTAGAGTGCCAGGGTATCACAACTCATAGCTACCTCCAACTCTTGGGCTTAAGCGATTCTCTACAGGCACCTGGCACAACACCCAGCTATTTTTGGTTGTAGTTGTCATTGTTTGGCAGGCCCAGGCTGCATTCGAACCCGCCAGCTCTGGTGTATGTGGCTGGCGCACTAGCCACTGAGCTACAGGCGCCAAGCCTTATTTAATGTTCTTTAAAAACAAATATAACATTAAAAATTTTAAAAGCCAGCCCAAGATTAATTTTCGTATTTACTTTCAAACTCATTAACGGTCAACATAAAATACATTTAATATGAGTAATAGAGTTGTATTTCATTACATTATAGCTAAAGTCAAATCCTAGTCCAGTGTCTACATAAGATAAAATAACTGGAAATTTTAGAATCATATTTTGTTCATAGTTGTTTTGTGAATAATTGTTTACAAAAGCCTTTGTCTTCATTTCAAAAGACTATATGCAAAAATCTTACCTAAGTACTAAATTTTCAATAAAATTATACCAATGTGAAACGTAAACGTATTAATGAGTTCATCTATAACCAAGAACCAAAGAGAGGCAGAAGAATTAGTTTTAACAAAGGCAAATAAAGAAATTTTTCTGCCATCAGGTTGCCAGCAGTGACAAAAGGATTACAAGAGAAATAGTTTAAGTTATAAATTATCCCTCACTGTATTGGAATGTTATTATGAAACAGTAAAGATCTGAATCAAGGTCATTTTAGTTAAGAGTATCAGGAATTTCACTCATATCTTCGTTCTAAGAGGAAGTCCTTACAGCAGTCCTCTGGACATCTCGCTCTTTTTCTTATGCTTTCCAGGAGTCCTCAAACTTTTTAAAAAGGGGGCCAGTTCACTGTCCCTCAGACCATTGGAGGGCTGGACTGCGGGCCCCGGGACAGGACGGCTACTAAGCAGGACAGGCAGCGGCGGCAAAAACACCCAGCGGGCCGGCTAAATGTCCTAGGCCAGTTGCACGTGGCCAGCGGGCCGTAGTTTGAGGACACCTGCTAGACTATAACATGTGGGATTAGGCTCCTTACTAATTACCTTTTTCTGTAGTTAAAGTAATCATTATCTGAATCTTCCAATGATCCCGATAAGTCAGAATTTCCGATTTGAGTTTTTGCAACCTTGCTTTCTTTTGGAGTGGCTTTTTCCTCAGCTGATGGTGACGGTCATCCGTGGCAATTAGAGTTCAGAATATTAAGAAAACACCAAAATAAAATTTTGTTTTTATATGTATATACTATAATCTTGTCCTATGTTTCAGAATCCCCAGGACCTTTACTATACAGATTATAAGGTGACAATTCCCAGGGTGAATTTCGTGAATTCTTAGTTTATGTGAAAAAAAAAAAATCTTTGGTTAATTCAGTTTGGGCAACATGGAACCGAGCAACAGTAAGAAGCGACACGACCCCCACATACACAGTCTCCTACTGCGGGGTTTCTCTTGGCTCTGAGTACAACTGAGGCTGCAAGAGCGGGCAAGTTGGGTCTTCCTCAAATTTAACTGTCTTTCAAAATGTTTTGCCAAATCTTTTGCTCTGAGAGAGCTTTCTCGAAAATGCTGGCATAAATACAAGGCACAACAGGTCATTTGTTATTTCAATACAAATACGTTCTCATTTATCAAATCTCCTTTCATTTCAACATGATTTCTCCAAAACTGCACAATCTGTCTTCAAAATATCAACACTGACGCTCTACATGATCTACACGCCAGCAAAGATCCATGAACCCGGCAGTGTCAGTGCAGATGGGTTTTCCCCTGGGGGGATCAATTTGTTATCCTTTAGGGAAAAAAGTGACTCAAATTAATATCTGAAGTCATTTCACAAGAGTTGTCAGAATCTTTGACCACCTGAAGCCCATATTAGTTTTAGTGTGGCTGCTACCATTTATTTCCCAGCTGACCCTAAAATAGTCATTTATGGATAACAAATAGGGCTTTTTTAAAAGACTTACCTGGCTTGGTGCCTATCACTAAGTGGCAAGGGCACCGGCCACATACACCAGGACTGGCAGGTTTGAACCTGGCCTGGGGTCTGCCAAACAACAATGACAACTACAACAACAACAACAAAAAGCTGGGCATAGTGGTGGGTGCTTATAGTCCCAGCTACTTGGGAAGCTGAGGCAAGAGAATCTCTTAAGCTCAAGAGTTTGAGGTTGCTGTGAGCTATGATGCCACAGCACTCTACCCAGGGCAAGAAAGTAAAACTCTGTCTTAAAAAAAGAATCACTTATAATCAAGGGGTGACAAAGTGAGACACTGTCTTAAAAGATCTACTTAACTGAAACATGAACAAAAAAAAATGGATATGCCAGCTATTTAAAATACTATTCCACCTACCCAACCCCAAAAAGAAATAACACAGAACTCAGGAGATTCTGAGTTACATTTTGATAGGGATACAGGACACATACCTGTTATTCCTACCAACAGCTTAGAGCAACGATACACTGTACCATGCAGTACCTATGAAACTCACCAACAAGGAGAATGCAGCTCTATGTACTTTAAAAAATCATAACACAATGTTTTGAGAAATAGATATAAAATACAAATTCACAGAAAAAGGAGCAATGACTTTGGAACTAAGTTCCAAACTGTGAACCATCTGTACAGTAGAGAGAGAGAAATTTCAGCAAAGAAAGGATAGCATCTATTATTATTTTTGTGCTATTGCAGCTATAACCTACGAAAATAGTGGATGATTATTACACATTATTGACTCACAGAGATACATGAAGACAGTTACTACTTTTCAATATTTGTTCAGAACTAGGATCTAAGGCCTCTGTGTTTGATTCTAAGTGTATAGCAACATATTCTTATCTTCAAAGAGTTTATCATATTTAAGAAAACTAAATTTTAAAAAGCTGAACTGCATGCCGATAGTCCCATAGTCCTAGCTACTTGGGAGGCTGGGGCCAAGATTGCTTGAACCCAGGTGTTTGAGGTTGCTATGAGCTAGGGTGACCCCATGGCACTCTGAGTAAGACACTGTCTCCAAAAAAACAAGATAAATAAAAATAAAAAGCTGGGCTGGTTTCTAACAAAATGACAAATAAACCATAGAGTCAATGAATGGGGAGAGCAATAATCCAATTCAGTTCAAGCCAAGACTATGTAAAAAATCACTTAATTTGTGCATTCACACATTAAAAAGAATTTTCACATCTATTATCCAATTATTTATCACAATAAATAGTAATACTGAATAGGAAATTGCCCTGCCAGACAGATAAATAATATTAAATTAACAGCAAATAAAATATGTCAGTAGTGGTTTACAAGATGGACAAATGGGACAGCGTAGAGAGTCTAAAAGTTGTCACGTGTATGTGGGAATTTAGTGTGTGGTAAAGATGTCACTTGAAATCAGTGAGGAAGAAAGGACAACTGGACATGCATTTGGAAGAAACAAATTTATGTTACCTCTTTATAGCAAACATATTCAAAAGATTTAAATAATGAAAAGTTAAAAATTAAAAATTCAACTAATCCATCAAATATTCATCTATATTTTCTGTGAAGCTAGAATGGCAAAGCCCTTTCTAAATATGACATACATGCCAGAAATCATAAAGAAAAAATGTGCAGCTTTGGTTACATAAAAACTAAAATGTTTTTGAAAATAATCAAAAACAATATTAATCTACAAACTGGGAAAATGTTTGTAACATATGAAAAGAACTTTTATAAATCAAACGTAGGATGAACATTTCAACAGAAAATAGGCAAAGGACAAAAATAAACCAGTCATAAATATATGTAACTAGCCAACAAATATATTAAAAGATATTCAACCATACCAGGAGTCAAAGAAATAGCTAAAAAAGAGAAACAGAGCACATTTTTTCTTATCAAACTAGCAAAACTTTTAAAGATTGGTAATATCTCAGAGTTAAAGTCATATATTTTGCATTCTTGTGCCCTATTAGACAAACTTTGCCATTTTAAGAAACTTACAACTATCATCAATAAACTGTAATATACATAAGGGAAAAACGGAGGTACCCAATCTCGTAACACACATAAAAATTAATTCCTAGTAGATTCATGAACCAAACCATAAAATGTTTGCATACCGTAAAACATTGAAGCAAACCATAAAACATTTGCAAGATACAGGACTTAACATTTGCAAAAATTACAGGACTTAATTTTCACGACCTTGGGGCATAAGACGTATTTTTTAAAGAAGATATAAATAACACTGACTATAAAAGAAAGTACCAATAAATCTGTCTACATTAAAATCTAAGAAGTGCAGTTCTACTTCTGCTTATGATGCAGAAAGCCAAAGGAGTGCTCCTACCTGAACCAGGAGAAGAAAATGAGCATAGACTGGCTTCTCATTTAACCATTTTAACCATTTTTTTTTTTGGAGTAAAGCACCAAAGAATTAATAACATTTAAAAACTATGAGAGGTGGACCCTGTGGCTCAAGGAGTAGGGCGCCAGCCCCGTATACGGGAGTGGCGGGTTCAAACCCAGCCCCAGCCAAAAACTGCAAAAGAAAACCCCAAAAAGCCAACATTAAAAACTATGTTTCCACAGAAACAAAAAAGTCTTTAATTTGTCTTCATTTCTGAAATATTTTCACTGGGTAAAACATTCTTTCTTTTTTTTGAGACACAGTCTCACTTTGTCGCCCTCAGTAGAGTGCTGTAGCATCACAGCTCACAGCAACCTCCAACTCTTGGGCTTAAGTGATTCTCTTGCCTCAGCCTCCCAAGTAGCTGGGACTACAGGCACCGGCACAACAGCTGGCTGTTTTAACATTCTTGATTGTCAGGTTTTGTTTGTTGTTTTTTTCTTGACTTTTGATATTTAAAGATATCTCTGAATGGTCATCTGTTTTGCATACTTTCTGATGAGAAGTCTATTATTGTTGTTCCTTTTTCTCTCCACTGTATTTAAGATTTTAACTCAGGTTTTCAACAGTATGATTATTATGTACACAGCATAAAATCCTCACTGAGGTTCTCTCAGCTTTTTGAACCTGTGCTATATTGTTTTTCATCAACTTTGCCATTATCTTTTTGTATTAATACTTGGTTCACCAAATTGCCTTGCAAAATCAACTCTGATGAATTTGAGAACAATCATCACAAAATTAAAACCCCCCATGAAAGTTTCTTTTTGGGGAGTTCAACTAAATAGCACAAATAGCCCAAGGAGTGAAATGGGACACTACGCACACTTCATTAGCCACTTGACCTTGCCCTGTTCAGGAATACGCAGAGTCCACGCTGAATTTGTGTTTCCTAGGTGCTCTTTCCTATCCGTTAGTGATCTTGATGAGTGGAAAGCAGAGGTATGTCCAGGTAAAGAAGATACAGACTCTCACTAAGAATCTCACTAGAATCAAGTAATAAATTGTAAATATTAAATACTTCTAAGATTAAAGAAAGTGCTAAGTTTGGAATGCAAGAAGTGTAACTGGTTAAGAGTTCATATATTCTATAGCTATAATAAATGTTACTGTTAGTTTCTGAGGGTTAATTTAATTCATAAATTCTTGGTAAATGTGCTTTGTCCCTCATGGTTTATTTCCTTATGTAAGAGGGTAAAAAAGTTTGACTGATTTTTTTTTTCTATTGATTCCTAAGAGTGTAGACAGTTTTCTTTATCTAAGTTTAATTTTGATTTGAGCATTTTTAATTATCTGCCACTTTTTAAGAATCAAGTTATTAGGACGTGGATAGGTATGACCAGATTAAAAAAATTTAAATTCTTTAAAATATATATGTCCCCCAACATTAAACTTGTTTTGACTTTGGTTTGATACTGTTTTCCTGATCCCTCTGTCCTCTGAATAATACCAACGTTTTATGAAGTAATCCTTCCTTTCTCTTTCCCCGCGGGCTGAATTTTATCTGAAACGATTTTATTTTTTAAAAAGTAAAGGTGGTAGAGTTTATCTAAGCCCTGTAACTATTTTGTTACACTGGCAAAATTCTTATTTTTTTTAAATCCCTAGGTTGAAGAGCAGCGTTCCTTTTTACCTGTACACTGCCTATATTGGGAAGGCTAGGTTTGCCCGGAATTGGTTCACAGGCTTGATGGCTAAAATGTACTGTTAATCGCGTTTTTGTGTTCCCCCGTTCCAGGTGAAATCACCTTCTTCCTGAGTCTTGTTAAGAAGCTCTTTCAAAGTGTTTTCTAACAAAGTAGAATATCTTCCAGGTTCCTCTCTTGACAAAGAGATGCTAACGGGTCTCTGGACTGTTTCGTCAGCCTCCGTCACACCATTATTAATCTGCCGCTCATCTAAGGTAATGGTCGATGATGCTGAATAAACATTTCCTAAGTGGTCCATTACAGGAAGTAAATATAATTCTGGTTGAAGAGCCTACAACAGAGGAAATTTAAAACATGAGTTGGTCATGAAAGAAGCATAAACCAAGAAATTGGCCTGAGTTTAACATGTCCCATGACGTACGTATGGAGGAGCAAATGACTTGAGTTTCAGTTCTGATTCCTGCTTTTCTTTCACCTGGAAGCAAAGGAGGGAGAAGAAATTAAAGCCTTGACAACATTTATCAATTTTTGCCTCCCCCCTTTTTTGGCAGAAGACATGTTATTTGTGACACGTAAATCAAAATTAAAAGCTAGTAACTATGGCTAGATTCCACAGAATGTAGGGTATAATCCTATTTTTATTCACTAAACCAAACATAATAGAAATTTTATGTCATTTAATAATAATAATTATGGTTATCACTTCCATGGACTCACTCGGAGCCAATTACTACTCTATGTGCCTTATATGTGTTAGCTCAATCCTTGAAACTTCTTACGTTAATCATTGATATCCATAGTTTACAGACAAGGGGATTGAGGCAAACGAAAGCTAAGTCACCTGCCCAAGACTGTGAAGTATGAAGTATCCAAGTCGAGACTCAAAACTAGGTAATCTGATCCCATGGTCCATACTGCTAAACTTTATGTCCTACATATTCTTTTTTTTTTTTTTTTGAGACAGAGTCTCACTATGTCACCTTGGGTAGAGTGCCCTGGGGTCATGCTCACAGCACCTCAAACTCTTGGGCTCAAGAGATTCTCTTGCCTCTGGAGTAGCTGGGTCTATAGGTGCTCACTATTTTTGTTGTTGTTATTGTTATTTTTGTTGTTGTAGTTGTCGTTGTTGTTTAGCTGGCCTGGGCCAGGTTCGAACCTGCCAGCCTCAGTGCATGTGGCTGGTGCCGTAACCATTGTGCTACAGGCGCTGAGCCTACGTCCTACATATTCAATCCATAGAATTCATTTGTTGTTATTTATTTAACGAATACTGAGGGCATACTATGTGTCAGGCAGCTCTCCATGGGAGAGATACAATGACAAATAAGGCAAAGTTCCTGTTCCCATGGCACTAATATTCTCTACCAGGGAGAGCAGATATTAAATGACTAAAAGTGACTTAGGGATTATGATATATGTTTATTAAAATAAAACAGCGATGTAATAACAGGGCAGAAGAAAGTCACTTATAGAAAGAAAATCTAAAACTAGGTAGTGAGGGAAGGCCTTTTTGAAAAGATAATACTTGAGCTGAGACTCGAGTTATGAAAAGCAGCAGCCAGCTATCTGAAAATCAGGGGAGAATGATTTTCCGGCAAGCGTAAGGACTAAAATCAGAAATGAGTTTGCCATATTTGAAGCCCAAAGAAAGATTTTTGTCGCTGAAGCATAAGACTAAGAAGAAAATGGTAACAGATAAAACCTAAGAGGCAGCCTATGTGACCAGACACAGCGGGTCTAGCTGCCTGTCACTGTCAGCCCCATGCAGAGATGGGCGTCAGGTCCAACAAGCTTCATTGTTAGGGCGCCAGCAATCTGGACATCACCGAGAGTAAGTTCTCCAAGTCTGTCCTGCCCTTCCATTTCCACAACCACAGTTTTATACATAGAACTTCAAAGCAAAGACCATATTAACCCTTACCTTAACCGATAATAAACAACAATAGCATAACTCATGACCCATAAAACATTTCCAATTCAAAAGTTAATCTCCGAAATCAGTTGTCCTAAACTACCCAAGATACAGATTTTTAGGTGAAGCTAAATTTACAAAACAAGAATGGAAGACAGGAGAAGGTCACGTAGGCGCGAAACCAACCAGACCAGCGGTGCTGCCTCGGCCCCAGCCTAATCCCATCTGACTCTCACTACGGGTGCTCTCACTATGCCTTCCAGTGGTTCTCAACCTTCCTAATGCCGCAATGTATTTTCCTTGTTAAAAAGGGGTCGCGACCCACAAGTTGAGAACCGCTGCTAGGCCTTCCTTATCTCTTTCCTGTACTACGGTAGGAGCCTTCTAGCTGGACTCCTAGCCTCCAGTCTCTTCCCACATCAACCCAACCTTCTCAAACAGGCCCAGGTAATTTTACTGAAGGCGTTAGTCATGTCACCCTTTTGCTCAAAACCTCCTTGTCTTCAGAAAAAATCCCAATTACTAATCAAGACCTTCAACAAACTACTTTGTGACTTTATAGTTCCCACTATTCCCTCTCGTGTAGTCAATGTTCCAAATTAATGGCTTTTTCTGTGTTAGTTGCTTGCTTTTCTACTTCTATGCTCATTCTGTTTTCTCTGCTCAGAAAGATTCTCCCACCCTTCATCCTTGGGAGAGCGACTATTGATCTTTCAAGATCAAAAGTGAATGTAACTTCTTCCTTCTTCCCTTGCTGGAACGAATCGCTTTTTCATCTGAATATACAAAATATAACATTTTATTTATTTATTTTATATATTTTATCTTCACCACTACACTGAACACTTTTAAGAACAGGATCCATATCCAATTCTTTTTCCTAGTTTTATAGATAGAAAAACATCAATAAATATTTGTTGAAAATAGTAAAATAGGTCCCTGCCAATCTGAGATTCAGAGATTGATATTTTGTAAATCGACACGAGAGTCGTTTATTTTCTTCCCTATTTGAAGAAAATTAACTGAATGATCAGTGAATTAGTGTTCTGGCATGCTAACTAGAATCCTAATAACAAACACTTCTTCACATTTAGCTATTGATCCCAAGATTCCCACATAGCAAATTATGGTAGCACTTTGAGGGAATATTCTTATTTCTTCATTATTTAATTTGCTCAATAAACATTTAAATACCTCTAAGTGGGCTCGGTGGGCACCCGTGGTTCAGTGTTTAGGGCACTGGCCACATGCACTGGGGCTGGTGGGTTTGAACCTGGCCAGGGCCTGCTAACCAATGACAACAATAACAACAACAACAACAAAAGCTGGGCATTGTGGTGGGCACCTGTAGTCCCAGCTACTTGGGAGGCTGAGGCAAGAGAATCACTTAAGCCCAAGAGTTTGAGATTGCTGTGAGCTGTGACACCATAGCACTCTACCAAGGGTGACATAGTGAAACTCTTGTTTCAAAAAAAGAACAAAAAAGTAAAAAACCTCTAAGTGCAAAGCACAGTCAGGCACCAGTTACAGATATTATATAATGGAATTAATTAAAGTCCCTACCCACAAGGAATAAAAAAGATATTAAACAATAATCACATAAATTGATATATAATAACGACAATATGCTAACTAGAGTGCTGTAAGAATATACTGAATTTTAAAGAGTTCAAATATACAACATCTTGATAGAAGATATGAGAAACTAGAAACTCTGAGATCTGATGGCTTGTTAGATTGGGAATTCCAGCTAGGAATTCTCTCCACTCTTAGATTATCCTGACACGCATAGAAACTACACATAGGAGAGTTCAGTAGGTAATAGCTGACGCCAAAAAAAAAAAAAAAAGAAAGAAAAAGTTGAGCCAAATTATCATTTATACACTAAGTGAGGCTAGTTGTGGCCCAAGCAATAAGAGCTCCATTTTTCTCCAGAACACAAGCACTTACTTAAAGCACTTTTAAAAACTGTCATTTAAATTGAAAAAATATATTACTTTTATAATCACATTTTAAATCTGTTTTCCTTTTCTTCTCAAGAAAATTCACATCCAAAAAAGCCCCCATCCTTTTATTGCTGAAAATACGCCCGTCAGCTCCTTCCTTCTTGGTCTGTGCACTTATTTCATTATGATTGAGATTACATATCTCTTAGTATTTTAAGAAAACTTGAGTTAATAAACATGTGAGAAACACGATTTCATAAGGAATGGCTTTCCTTAATCAGAAGACAAAGATGAAGAAAACTTACCACAGCTAAATTATTTCCGATGCATTTCAGAAATAAAAATTTTTCTGCAACAGCATCTTCACCAAGGAACTCACCCAGACGTTCCCTCAAGGCTTGCAAAGTAAGATGAGGAGATACTCTGAAATATCGTGAAATTGCTTTATAATGCAAAATTAATTAGATATTGCATCTACTAATGATTCAGCAACTTTAGTTAGCTCAAACGTAAATATTGGTTTATTATGTCTGATACAGCCTGAGATGCTTCTACACTGCCTGGCCCCTGGTAGGTCTTTCTTAAATATCTTTTAAAATAAGTGTTTAAAAGTCTGCCTTTTGACTGAGTGTGGTGGCTTATACCTGTAATCCTAGAACTCTACGGGGAGGCTGAGACAGGATTACTCCAACTCAGGAGTTTGAGACCAGCCTGGGTAAGACTGAGACGTCTCTACTAAAAATCAAAAAATTAGTCAAGCATTGTGGCATGTGCCGTAGTCCTAGCTACTTAGAAGGCTGAGCCAGGAGAATTGCTTGAACCCAGGAGTTTGAGGTTGCTGTGAGCTAGGCTAATACCATGGCTCAGCCATGGGCAACAGAGTGAGACTGTCTCAAAAAAAAAAAAAAAAAAAAAGTCTGGGCAGTGCCTGTGGCTCAAAGGAGTAGGGCACTGGCGCCATATGCCAGAGGTGGTGGGTTCAAACCCAGCCCTGGCCAAAAACTGCAAAAACAAACAAACAAACAAAAAAACAAGTCTGCCTTTTAAAATTATGCATAGAAACACTGTTTATAAATATTCTTTTTGTAATGAAAAGGAAAAAAATTGTTCACTTTGCTAAGTTAGCTCCAAATTTTGTTAAAACTTGTTATGAAATTTACATACTTTTATACATATATTAAAGAACACTTTAGTCACAGATATTTATTTTGGAAGTTTGGCGAGAGTAGCCAGCGCTTAAAATTTTTTCAAATAACCAAATGTTGTCGGATTCCACATCTTTACTTATTAGAGATACTTCATTCCTCAGTGTGTAAAATTTAAAGCCATCATTGATGCTATTGTTCTGAGTTCTTGTTTTTCTAGGATCTGATGAGAAATATTAGATATACAGAAATACAATTCATTCATTCAGTCAGCAAGCATTTACCAAACCTCCTACGTATCAAACATCGTTCCAAGGATGATAATGTGGCAATCAACAAAACAGACAAAAACTCTGCCCTCATAGACTTTACAATCTAGTGGTAGGAAAGAAAAATTAACTAAGTAAATAAGTAAAAAATATAGTTCATAAGACCCTGCTAAGTACTACAGAGAAAAATAAAACACGGAAGGGAGAAAGGGACTGTAGCTGTGATTTAAAACACAGTGATATGGCTCGGCGCCTGTGGCTCAAGGGGCTAAGGTCCCAGCCACATACACCTAAGGTGGCGGGTTTGAATCCAGCCTGGGCTCACCAAACAACAATGATGCTGCAACCAAAAAATAGCCAGGCGCTGTGGCGGGCGCCTGTGGTCCCAGCTGCTTGGGAGGCTGAGGCAGGAGACTCGCTTGAGCCCAGGAGTTGGAGGTTGCTGTGAGCTGTGATGCCACAGTGCTCTCTCTACCTAGGGGGACGGCTTGAGGCTCTGTCTCAAAAAAAATAAAAAAATAAAACACAGTGATAGAATATCTGCACAGACAGTGATATTTAAGTAAAGACCTAAAGGAGGTGAGAGCATGTATGTAGTCATGGGTGTTTCTGTGTTTTTAGGAATATGCATATAGATAACTGCACATAATACATATATACATATGTTGTTTGTTTATATTTTTAAACTGTTCAGAGAAAGGGCCATTGCGGATATATTGGCTTAATGATTATTCACAGCTCTTCAACAGGTTTTTAATCTCAGATCACTTCTGAGTTTTCTTGGTGTATAACCATAATATAGAGGTTGTACAATTTTCTGGGTGGCAGTATTATAGCCCAGGGTTCTGTTTCTACAGCACTGTTTGATTTCATTGCCACATAGCCCTATTTATTGATAGTATTCATTAAGTTAAGAAATGGATCTGTCACATGGACAAGGTATTTTTCACTTAGAATTTTTAAATTTCCAGAAAGCATTTTTCTCTGCAGGAAAAAAAAAGGGGGGGGGCGGGTTCTGTTTCAGGCACGTTGTTACATGACCACAAAATACTTGCCTTATAAATCCAGCTGAAATGAATTTGTTAACAACTTCTATAGAAATGGTATTTAATTTATAGTTCCAGGATCCTTCAGGGACATAAAAAACATGAAGCTCCACCAACTGAATAAATTGACAAGAACAGCAGTTAAAATATTATTTAGGTGACAAAACAGTTGATATCCTATAGAATTTTAGGTCTAATAAACACAATTAAAATAGATACAGAATGCATGCATCCCTCTGAGCAAACAAAAAACAAAATGAAGAACCAGAAATTTATTCTTAAATTGGCATATCTGGCGTTGGAAACAATGAGAGATTTAGCTCCTAGATTCTCCCAGCACTCTGATGGAAGGTGTTCCTTCTGTGGCCCACAATAAGAACAGGAGAGCACCAAGACCAGTTTTGTTATCACCAACCTTCACCCCATTCTACTCCCCACCTGCTCAGTTTCACTAGGGTGACCTTGTACAATCTTTATCCTTTGTATATTGTCTCTTTACTCCGTTCTGATGATCGCTAGCTCTCTTGCAAGAGGCTCAATACTGTGGTCTGGAGAATATGTTTGTTCCCCAGATTTCTAGGAAGAACCTATTCCTAACCAGTGATGGGAAAACAAATGGTTGTTCTTACACGGGGCATATCTGTAAGCTTGTCTGTGCTTATGTAAAACTGTTTATTTTACTATTAACGTTTTGTTATATCCTTGATTAGAGTACTTCTGTTTAGAGGAATCTTTAGATTACTACAACAGAAATAGAACAATTATAGCAGATATAGTCCTATCTTTTCATCTCATGAAGTTGTGATATTCACTGCATATTAAAGTCAAAACGTGGCTTCGTGTCTGTGGCTCAAGCAGCTAAGGCTCCAGCCACATACACCTGATTTGGCGGGTTCAAATCCAGCCCGAGCCCACCAAACAACAATGACAGCTGCAACCAAAAAATAGCTGGGCGTTGTGGCGGGCGCCTATGGTCCCAGCTACTTGGCAGGCTGGGGCAAGAGAATCACATAAGCCCAAGAGTTTGAGGTTGCTGTGAGCTGTGATGCTATAGCATTCTACCCAGGTACACAGCTTGAGGTGCTGTCTCAAAAAAAAAAAAAATAAATAAATAAATATAAAATTAAATAATAAAAGTCAAAACATTTAAATGATTATACTCAAACCACAATGTTAAATATCTGAGAAACCTTTAAAAGTTTGAATATGATCTACTATGGATATTATTAATTTTTACAGGAGATAAAAATGGTTCTTAAACTGAAGGTTTTGTTTTTTAAAGCCTAGAGATGACTTCTATACTTATGATGATGAGGTATTAACTAACAATTTAAGATGTTTGTGCACATCTGATAGTGAAGTTTGCTATATGCTGCATTTTGAACACCACAGTATTTAAAAAATTATTCCCTAGCATACTAATAAATATTTGCAAAACCTTCAGTGAAGCAAATATGACCTTATTTACAAATATGACCTTATTTGACCTTATGACCTTATGTACATTAATATTTTATAGGTGGAAAATATTTCTTAATAAGTATGTTTGTGGTATAGTGGTGAGCATAGCTGCCTTCCAAAAAAAAAAAAAATCTATTTTAACAGTTAATTTTTTCCAGAACAACAAAGTAGTTGGAAAAATACTGAAAAATTTTAAAGTATATATAGTGGAGGTAAAAGCCTGATTGGAGTTGGTTTAACAGAAAGTGGGAAGAAGGTATTGGAAGTGTGAGATGGTATGAAACACTGGTCTAGAAATGTGGAAAATTGAATAAAAGAGTGGCAGACAGTAAGATTTACTGCCTGCAAAAGATTCCACTTAAGACTCATGGTCGTGGCTCGGCACCTATAGCTCAACCGGCTAAGGCGCCAGCCACGTACACCTAAGGTGGCGGGTTCGAATCCCCAGCCCG